AACTCTTATATCATGGTATACTAAACATGTATACTGTACTTAAGTACAAATACACAAGTATGAAGAGGGAAGATTTATGAACAAAACTTTCATGAAAGTGTCTTTACTTCAACTGCTGAAATTGCTCTTTGTTTCATAAAAAAGGATTTCTTCTGAATCACCAGAAAGGTACAAGCTTATCTATATAGTCTAATCATTATAGTACTTCCTTGGGAGAGGAGAGTCCTTGGATTCCAGTCTGTGCTTGGGAAGCATTTGTTATCAAATGGTTTYTGGAGCAGGCAGTAGAATTTCTTCTCCAGCCCATTTGGGAATCTAGCACTACATTGTTCTGGTAATAGATTACATAGTTGTGAGGTGCTAAATCCTTAAAAAAAGTCCTGGAAATTTTATTTCATGTTTCAACTGGTTTTTTTTCATTTTTTCTGGCCTCAGGTTAATGTCATTTTAGGATTGGTATCCCGTCAATGACTGTAGCAGTAATCACGCATGCACTCCTTAACTAAAAAAAAAAGTGATAGCTTTATTGTAATGCATTTTAGTCAGCTCTAAAACTGAGAGGTGTGAAGAAGAAAGGAAAGAAAATGTGTAGTCAGAATGACACAGTAAATTGTTAAAAATCAATAATCATAGCAAAGAGAGAGTTTGGGGGGGGGGGGGGGGGGGGGGGGGGGGGCGGGATTGTTTGTGGACACTTGTGGAGACCTCATGCTAGACATGAGAAGCCACACAGAAGAAGGTACAAAGTGCCTTTCCAGAAAACATCAAGATTAGTGAGAGTAACTGCATTAACTGACTGGAGGTGAGTGGTTTTTGGTAAAATTGGTGGAATAGGTATGGACTATAAAGTTCAAATAAGAGTCTACATTTATGCTAGGGAGTGGCAGACTGATGGCAATATCTGAAAGAATGCACCATCTAAGTAGTATGTCCAGAAAGTGGATTCTGCAGTGCTCTGAGTAGATTATAAACAGGATTCAAAATGTGTTTATTTAGGCCAGAGAAAAGCATATGGCAATAACTGAGATCTGAAGTAAGAGCCTAGGTAATTTGTTCAGGTGGATGGCTAGAAAAACTTTTAGCTTAGATTATGTGTAAAGAGTCTGCAAGATGTAGATGTGTTTTGCCATAGGAATCTAAAGCTTGGAAGTGATCCAATCAATAGAGATGGAGAGCAATTAGATGAAGACATGAGATGATGTTTTTCAGAAAGATGAGGCATAAGTAAGTGACCTAACAGCCAGGCTTTCAGTGCTTGTTTCCAAGTGTAAATCAACAGGTCTAATAATGGGAAGTACAGTATTTTCAGATAATAGRTCTTTTCAGATAATTATTAATAGAAATAGTTACAGATTTAGAGAAAAAATAAAAGGGATCATAATGCAAATGAAATAGTAGCTGGAGGGACTAAAACGTAAGTGACCTCTGAAGATAGGATWCCTTAATTTTTCTAGTACTGATTCCATTTTTCAGAACAGTTTCTTCTGAAAAAGTATAATGAAGTAATTASATTTTTTAGTTATGCTTTTTGCAGTTACGAGTCTGCAAGTTTTTAGCTGACACATTTGAGTAAGTGCCTGTACAATTAATGTATATATTACATTTTCATCCATTCTCTTTTGTTCCAGTTAGCACCTTCTTCAGAAGCAAAGAGCTCACAAYGCTGTTGTTTAAGTGTTCTGTCACTTTCTGTGCCAGTCTTTCTCCATTGGTTTGTCTGTGCCTTCTTCCCATTTCATCTTAATTGCTGATGCCAGTGGCAACATCCACTAGAAGTAAGAATACAGCTTGCATTGCCCTATTATTACTAGCCATTGAGTTTGTATGTGCCACTCAGTCTGTAAGTGCTAATAAGTCTTTCCTAGAGAGCAGTGTTTTAAAGAAATAAATGTCTAGCCTATTAGAAGTAATGTAGAAATTAGCTACCTTGGGTTTATGGTCACTCTTGCAGACACTTGCATTCAAATACAGTGTAGAAATAGATTATTTCAGCYGCAAAAGCATACAGAATTGGAGTTACAAAATTACTAGGACATTCTCACAATGTAAATGAATAGAAGATAAACGTATCCCAATCTCTTCTGTGCAGTCTCTAATACAGAAACAGAGTTCTTCTCAGGAAAGTGTAATGTCATACTGCAGAATAGACCAAGCTTTGGACTTGGTGTTCGCCTCAGATTTTTGTTTTGTTTTTAAGATGGGTTATGTTTTAACAAGCTGAAGATGGTTTTGTGGATTGTGAGGAGCAACAACTCAGCTAGCTGAATTACTTTTCTTTGGGTGTACTAAGTGTGCATTTGAATTAGACTTCTAGAACTGATATAAGCATATCCTCTTCACTGTGTAACAAAAACATTATTGTCCTCAACATCTATGTCGAGACTTCTGTCTTTGGTTAGGAGATAGATACCAAGACTGGAGAATGAGAATGTCCTTGTCATGTTCAAAGCAGTAACTTTCCTTCATTTTGCCTTATTTGTGTATAAGCTTTGGATATAATAGGATAAACTAAAAGGTTTCCTTTAGAGACCTCTGAAAGTAGAGCATTTTAAAAGCAGGTAGGTGTCTCTACCCTACTTTTTCATGAAACATTTTGCCCATTCAAGCAGACTTTTAAAAACAGCTTGTTTTGATAGCAGCCTGTTCTCCTGTGGGCCTTCAGCCTTTGCTTCCTGGCAGCACCTTTGGTGCGAAAAGAGAGTGATCAATTGGGAGACTATCAGTGCCAGCATGCATAGAGTGATAAGTTAACACACCACTGGGAATTTCTAGGGCCCACCAAGATACTTCACTTCTAATGTGCTAACAAGCTCATTTTTCTACCTCTTGCCTCTTCAGTTATTTTTTTTTTCTCAGAAGAGCTTAGAAGTTGAGTGCATCAGGCATAATGAAAAGCTCTGTAGGAGGGAGAAGCAATAACCCCATTTTTCCCTTTTCAGCCAAATAGAAAATTAGTTTCTGGTAATACACAAAGGCCAGTATTTTTTGTGCAAGGGGCACTGCTGTGAATCAAAGGACTCTATTAACTGCAGAAAATTCAGCAGCTGTGAATCTCCCCCAATGAAAAAAAAAGTGCTTTTCAACAAGTTGTGAGATACGTAGTATTATTTAGACTTCAACCATCAGTTTCATCCTCTACCACTTATACATAGGCTCTTAAAAACTGTGCTATATTACTGTCTTCTGTTAAGGCTCAATACTGTGTTTATCCCCCAACCTAAGAATTGTTACAATAGGAGATTTTTATATTTTCTCTTGTCCCAGTGCTTTTACTATAGCTTCTCCAAACTGAGACTTGTACTGTGGATCAGCTGTCTCTGGATTCAGAAAGAATTCAGAGCACAGATTTTGGAGGGAAAACTGTCTTCACTGTGTAACCAAGCTATGATCTAAGGAAATATGATAGAAATCATTTTATTCACTGGAAGTTGTTTCTAGGTAATATATTCTCTATATATATTTTCCTATTTAGATAGACTAAAATCTACAGTAAATACTGTACAGAAAAAACTAAAAAATTGAGTAGGAAAAGTTCTGTAATTGTAGAAGTGAAGTTTAGTAAGCTAATGKGAAGACTATTGTTTCCAATTTTAATTTGGTGTTGGGGAATTTTATTGCTTATCATAACTGAAAATAGTACTGTTATTTATTTTAAATTTTAGCACTTGTAATTWAAAATGCTTATCACGTGTAATACAGTTTTTATGCTTGGATTGCAAAAAAATATATGCATGATGAATATTATCTCCATTTCACAAGTGGTGAAATTGAGTCAGACAGGTAGATTCTTCACTGTCCCTGATTCCCCTCAAAAGAGCAGCAGACATGAAATCAAACTCTAGAACTCCAAAGAAACCTATTTCGAGTGCATTCCTCCACAGCATGCTGATTTCTTTGGTTTTTTTTTTTTTTGAAAACACAACTATGTAAGGAGAAAATGGTCTCACTATCTGCAAATAAATTATGAAAAAGTGGGCTCAAGTGTAAATGWGAGGGAAATTTTCTGATCATTCTGTTTCTGTAAGATAACTAGAGAAGRTTTGCCTCATTCAACTTACTGAGTCCAGCTGGAGGACTCTGAAAGTTGTGTGAGAAAAGGTTAACTGATTTCTCAGTTCAGCAACTATACAACATGAAGTCAGCATGGTAGTTTTTCTTGATAATTGTATGTTGCTGCCTGCTGCTCTACATTTTGACAGCCATTTCCATAGTTGCTTTCATGAACAGCAGAAATATTCTCTCTTTTTCTCGCTCTCTCTGTGCTAACAGCACAATCAGCCTGCTGGAACAAGAAGCCTAGAGAGGGTTCTTCAAAAACAACAACACTTCAMGATACCAGTCTCTTGTCAGTAATAYTAGAGGGGGAGAACACAGGAAAAAGAAGAAGTACAGTATTTTGCTGTCAGTGCCATGCCAACACCCTGTTAACCAGTATTTAAGGGTCCTGTGGATTCTTTACAGATATTCTTSCTTGTTTTAATGACATAATTGACAAGGTGTTTTTCCCAATATTGAAATTTCACTGTATTTATCTTAAATGTGTGTGTATTTAGAGATCATGAAAGCAGTTTATTATGGATAAGTGCAAAACCATTTATTTTGTTAATGTTAAGGTATGTTTCATGCTACACCTCCTAAAAATTGAAATGTTTTTATATTTAATTGTTACCAGAATATAGGCAAATTAGTCTTTTAAGAGCGTATTTAACGATTTGTAAACAATTTTGTAAACAATTCAAAAAATTGTAAACAATTTCAAAAAATTTTCCATCAGACATGAAAAAAATACAGGTGAATCATAAGGTTTACATTAATCATGTTTCCCTTACACTAAAGACAATAAATATCACACTCATATAAAGAATTAAAAATAAGTATGTACAGTCACTGAAATGCATGATAGGTATTTAACAAAAACAAGAATTCTGAATTACTAGGCACTGATATTTAACAGTTACAATACATGATATGAATTCWTCCTTAATTCTTGGCTAAACCAGTTATGAGGAGAGAGCACGATACCTGCAAACAATTGTTCAACATCATCTAGAGCCTACAACMTTTGAAGATTTTGCTGCTCAGGTTTTCTGTCCAGCACCTTATCACCATTTGCCCTCAGAGACCGGTAAGAAGTAACTGACAGTTCTTATACAATCTTACTGGAAATGCAGTATCCTTACTTATAAAGACTAAAAATTCAGAGCTTTGCACATCATGAAGAGTTACCATTAACTGGAAAGAACATACATGTTTGAGAACRTGGGTGAAGTTGACTTTAAATCTTTATTCTGTTTTCTGACATCAAGAGCCAATGCCTGGCATTAAGATTTGGCAAGGTGCTTTAATACAGCAACCAGACGCAATTTTTGCATCTGTATTTTTACAGCAAATTTTGTCACAATCCCCATATGTCCCCATCCCCATTTCTGCATAGAAATGTTGGTACTCTTTCATCTATGCTAGTTCAGGTAGAAAGATTTTTAAGCACACTTTCCCCATAAGAAAGTTTTAAGGCTCGCTACATGTTTAGARTGTAAAGTTTTTAAACTGAAAATCTGAGCCTTGCAATCGTTGATTTTGTTCCCGGGTTATTAGTCACAAAGTTGGTTTTAAGATAATTTTTACTTTCCTGCAAAATACCTGTTTTATAAGAGGATACTGCATTTTTTGTTACTAATAAGAAAATCGGTAAAAGAAAATGAGTAACTCAAGGCCTTCCTGTTCTGAGATTTCTTGAACTCCTTATGATTATTTCATTATTTTATTTCCCCTCTTTTTAGATCATTAAATATCAGTTCTGTTTATCTGAAGGTAAGACAAAGTGTCCAAAAAAACCCTTTGTTCCTATTACTTTTACTAGAGCACTAAGCTTGTAACCAAATTGTATGCAAACTTTCCTTGTTGCCCTTGTTCACACTAAAAAGAATTTCACACTGATTGAGAAATGACCACTACATCTTCTAAAAGTTTTAGTCTTTTACTAACCTCAGGTCTGCATGAAGCACTAACACTGGTTCTGGGATTAAGGTAACTAATGATAGAGACAGTTGTTGAATGAGTAACACTTTATTGTGTTGACCTTTGTTTCTCAGCATGAACAAGTAGTACTGGATGGCAGTGGTGTGTTTTGTACCCTGTACTGTCTTTCATTGATGTTGTAAGACATTCTGCTGTGATAACCTAGGAGAGATGGAGAAGAAGAATGTGTAACTTGAAATTCCCTCTTCAGAAAATCCTTATTTAATGATAATCAAAGTGCTTCCACGGAAAAGCTGTAAATCTAAATGAAATAAATTTTGTAAGAATAATTTGGCAAGTTGTTATCTGAAAATTTGTTTCTCAATTGCAAAAATATATGCAGGAATTAATTCTTAATTATACAAGAATTGTGATAGGACTACAGAAAGAATGACTGAGAGATGTTAAAATGTTGAGACTCCTTTACTTTGAAGTATAAACTATAACTAGAATAGTTTCAAACTATAATAAGTGATGTAATTATGCTAGTGGAAATAGTGGAGACCAAAGGAAAATAAAATTAAAAGGAAGTAATTTAACTAAAGCACTATAAAAATTAGTAACATAATATAAAGTAAGAAAACATTTGAATAGGAAAAATCTGTAACTAGAAACATTAAAAACAAACACTAAAAACAATAACCAGAGATACCAGTCCTTGCCACATTTCCTGCCTAATGGACCTATTGAAYATTCAGCGCCAGATACTTTTGTATGGCTAATATATATTCTATATTCTAGTGCACTTGTAGAAGTTCTGCCTATTCATTTTCAGAAATCTCATTCCAAGCCAAGTCGATCTGCCCTCTTCCTCTAATTCTTTCCTTCAGGGTGAAGCAAAGCTACTTTTCTGTGCTAGTTTGGTGCATCAGAGTACGCTGCTCTACAGTAGCAATTCCTTATTTCTTTTAAAATTGGTATTCTCTAGTATGATCTGAAATGAGGTTATGATTTTTTAGAAACTTGATTTTAACTTAACCCTTCTATCAAAGTTAATAATTTTCTGTAGGAATCTCATTAATAGGATCTTGTGATGCATTTCATGTCTGCGCATRTATATTCTCTCTCCATACTACGAAACACGATGTCCTGTCCTGGGAGCCACATTCTTCTGGACCTTGCATTGTGCAGTGGAACTGACCACGACATCAGTGTCAGGAGCAGCCAGCAGCTTCCTAGGATGGACATGCAGCCCAGTGTGACCCAGCATCAGAGTCAACAACCTGGCCCCACATCTGCTGACTCTAAGCTTTCATTTCAGCCCAGGGAAGCTGGGGATGCTCTGGCAGTCCTGCTTGCAGCCTGATCCCTGTTCGGATCTGGAACTCTGATACTCAGCTCCAGGACAGAGTACCTGGAGTAGCACTGAACCATCTGCCTCCAGGCTGCTCTAGAGGCCACAAATTCTAAAGCCTGAGGCAGRTATAAAATAACACTACCAGAAAGGTTACCCCAGGGCTTGTCGTTAGCCTGGAAAGCACTGGTTTCCAGTTCTAGCAGAGGCAGRCCTATTGCCGCAGATGACCCAAATTTCTGATGGACCCCGATCCCAAGAAAGAGTCCACCAGCAGTGCTATTAAGAAAACAGATTCCTCTAAATTTCCAGGGCCCTTGCAGWAGGTGGATTTCTTGAAAAAGTACAGAGCATTGAACTATGCCAGGAGTGGTCCCTGTCTGGGAATCCACATGCATTCATCACCCCCAAGATGACTCGGACAAAACCTTGTAGGGTCCCTGCCAGATGTGTCCATGTCATCTTAACATTTCTAGCCAGCTTCTAAGACTACATCACATTTTTTTAATACAAAATATTTCGTGTATGTATAGGGCTTCTTTGAATTAAAAAAATTGACCAGACTAGGAAAAGAAATTTTAGATATTAGACTTAATTATTTTATGGATCATGATCTTCAAGATTTCAACTGCTGAATATGTTTAATTTTATAAAATATTCTATACATTTTTTCATCTAAGAAAGATCTTAGAAACTGTGAGGCTACWACAGCCCATCACCAGGTGTTACCATTTTGTTGTTGTGGTCCCACTGGACTTTTCTTTTTTTTTCATTTCAGCTATGAGAATCAGAGCAAATAGAGAATATTCCATTCAGTAACAAACTGTATTTTCTCAGATGGACTTATTTTACCAAAGGCTCAGACATCGGCAGAAACTATTTCCTTTTTTACTGTGACTGCTCTTCAATACAGTGTGATTGTGGCAGCTGCTGTTTTATCTAGAAGCTTAGTTTGTCCTGTCAAAATATCTGACAAGTCCACCTTCCCATGTTTAGGAACCTGACTAGTGTAGTAAATGTGTACATTTAAAGAAATTGAGATTTACCTGTACTTAATCACAGATTGCAATTCAGTTGCCTCTGTGTTTTTTACCTTGTGCTGTTTCTGTTAAATTGAGTAACTGCGAATACTCTGCTAAACAGAGTAACTCATCCTATGCAGATATTGAGTGAACCAGATCTCTGTGACACCAGAATAGGTTGAGGGAACTGTCAATGGTAAGCTCAATTATATTGAAGGGCATATTGACCTCATGAGGCTAAGRTTCTGATCTTTAAAATGTACTCATGTCTTGGGTTTGCATTTTCCTGTCTTYTTTTGTTCCCTTTCTTTCCACTAAGACTAGCACCTCATTACAGCAAACTTTATAAAGAGGTCCCTCTACAATAGTCATAGTATTTTCCTTGTGATAAAGGCATCAGGCTTTTTGTCCCAACAATCATTCCTGTATTTTCAAGCCTGCATTCAGAACAATTCTGCTACCCCATTCCCAAAGTTAGTCGGGTTGCCACWGCACAAGCAGGGAAGCAGGGGAATTGCTTCAGCCTTGCACAATTAAAAATCAAGTTCAACAGTTTGCATTTTCTTCCACTGCTTCCTAGGTGCGGAACATTGAAACTAATAATCCTTTTGGCCTCTTACCACCCCTTTACAGATGAGAATGATGGTGCTTTTGTCACTGTAGAAGGATCTGAGTAACGCTTGGTGGTGGTGGTTTGTGATTGGAAGTGAAGCTGAAATCCAGAAGTGAGAGCTTTGTGTCTGACAGGGCTGGAAGAATTTCTCATTATCCCTTCTTCTGTTCAWACTTAGGAACCCTCTTCTTCTTTGCCAGATCAGAGCAAAACCTCCAAACTTACCTACATTTTCCAAAGAATTCATATTGGAACAGCTGAAGCTGAAACCTTACACATTTCTGAACKATTGTACTAAAGTCAAACACTTGAGTGAAGGTACACTCAGCACTTTGAGACAGTAAGTTTAGTGTGGGCTGCTAGAAACCCAAACAGCAACTTTCTACATTTAATGAAATGGGTCTACTGAAAAAAGAGTATAATTGTTCAATTAAAAAGCATCCTGTGCATACACAAGGGGGAAAAATTAAATTTTAGTCCTGACTTTTCCTAGTTTTTGAATTTTTACTTTTTTTCTTGTCACATTTGCCTTGTGTAATTATTTCCATTTTTGTTTTAAAGTACAGGGCAAAATAGAAATTCTATAACACTGATTACCAGCCACATGATACATAAGCAAACTGTAACCTCTAGAACCACCACCGCCTGCAGATTGAGATAGGACAGTAAGTGGTAGGAATGGTAAGCTCTCTTAGCTCTGCCTGAATCTCCACTAGTGGAAAGACTGGGAATTTTGCCAGTGGATTTCACTKGCAAACAGAGTTTGCCAGTATTTAGTTGACAGAGAGAAATAGGCTTACCTAGCACCCATGGTTCCAGCTAGATTCTGAAGAGCATTCTTCACTGGACATGGACTTGGCTGTTRTTTTGCCATAAACCTAATCTTTTTTTGCTGTGTTCTTTCTCATGACTGCCTCTTAATTCTTTCTCTTCTACCCAATGCTGGTCTCCTGGGTGTTTAGACCATCTCTTCCTCACCTTTTTGCCTTGCTTTGCAGCTGCTTTTGCAGTCTTCTACATCTGCTTCTCTTTTCCTTTCATCATTTCACAAAATTAGTGAGAGACTTAATTGACCTGACTCTAGCAAGGCACTGCTGAGCATGATGCATAACGTGGCCAGATTTGGACTAAAATTAGTAAGAGTGGCAAATCAAAAATGATTGCCCTCTTCTCTGATGGTCATGTGGGACTCGCTGAAGTATCTTAGAAGACCATCAAAATTTACCAACATGGACAAGTTATATTTTCCTCTGTGGTCATTCTCAATAACAGCACTCAGGACAGTGTTGTTTCAGACAGCAAGGTGTGATAAAAGCCAGAAGCACTGAGAGTAGTCTTACCATGCAGTGCCCTGTCAGGCTTCTCCCTGGTGAATTTTTCACCTTTGAAAGTCAGAACTGATGAGCGAGATGAGTGCATGTTATGATACTTCCAGATTCCTCCATCACACCTCACTTCTAATTTAGTCTTTGTGTAGTTAGGATTCCATTTTAGATTTAAATAGTTAATTTCTGAGTCAAATAACCAATATGCTAACATTAGAAGATTCTAAAATGGAGTGAAAATATCGCATTTCAACTTTGTTGACCCACCTCCTTGTTCAGAAGTAATTGAAATAGCTTTACTTTATGGCCCCAAAATATCATAGCTCATCAGGCTATGATATTTGTCACTTATCAAACATAAGAGGAGAAAAATATGAATCACTTCCTGACGTTTTTCAACCTCTTAAAAATCCAAAGCCATCTATTTTGTTTGTTTTATAGAACTTCCTAGCTTCACATCATTTGTCCATAAAACTTTCATATATAACCCTATTTTCATCTTTTGGATGACTAAATACGTTGTTGTGGTTTAAGAATGGTATTTTCCAGTTCAGTGTTCACACTGAAACCACTCCAAACCATGTGCCACTTGATCACTCCCCCTYCTCTTGGTGGGCTGGAGAGGGGAGGCAGAGGTCACAGGGTTGAGATAACAATTTACTGGAAACAGCAATGAGATAAGAAAATGAACAGTAGCAGCAACAGCAATACTAATGACAGAAAGTACAAGAAAGAGGCAAACAAATCACATGGGCACACACACACCCCATCCCTGACAATTCTCACCTGTTCCCTCTGCCATGCTACACCGAACTGGAAGCAAAGCTTTCCCCCATCCCTGGAAAATGACACAAAGTTATATAGAATAACCTCTGTGTCATGGGCATGCCCTCTTCTGGTGAAAACCAACCCTGTCCTGGCTGGAATCAGGACATTTTCCACTCCTTGTTCTATACCGTATACTGCGTGCCCAGATCCTACACCTTCCACCTATATACATATATATTTGTACATACATAGGCAGGATATCATTTCCATAGTCACTGACCATCCCCCTAGGTTTTCTCTTGAGTTCCTTTAGTCTGTGACTGTGGGTTCAATCCATCATAGATATCTTCCAGGACAGGAGGGCTACTGTGCTTTCCTCTGGTTACAAGCTTCACCAGGAGGTCACAATTGGAGCCGTTCACACTCACTGTCCATGGTAGTTATGCCATACAGTGGCAGTGTCATTCAGCAGCCACTCGTATACAATTCAACATTACAGACTGTCCTAACCAGCTTCTCCAACTTACATGCTACTCATGACTATCCGCCCTCAGGATGCATCTCTGAATGACTTCCCAAGAAATCTCTGTCCTGACTGTAACCATGGTATAGACACTGAGGAGACATGGCAGACTTAGCAACAAGAATAGGTTTTCCTTGGCATCCAGCAGAAATTCAAAATTCTCTCCCTTCACACACACAC